CTCCAGTGTTTGAAACGCATCGAGAACCGACCTCTCTGCTTCCGGTAGCTTTCCCAAAAGGAGGTAATCCATGGCTAACTGATGCTGCATAATGGCTACCCCACCGATATCCATTCGCCTTTCAGCATTATCTCTATACTTGACATGGCAATCAATCGCATCTTCAAACCTTTCTAAAGCTCTGTAAACCGTGCCTAAATTTCCCCACGCCATTCCTTCGCGAGCAACATTGTCCGCCTTATGCGCACGATCGATGGCGAACTTGAACATCTCTTTGGCTTCTTCATTGTAACCTAGTGCGGTATAAAGTTTGCCAATTTTGTTAAATGCCATTCCCATCCTTGCAAAATCACCTACTTCCCCAGCAAGGGAGTATGCAATGTACTGGTACACCACAGAATCATCAAACTCTTTGGGGTTGTAAAACTTCAAATATCCAATATTGTTGCATGCAATAGCTAGGCCATGGATGTCTCCTCTGCTCAATGCGAACTTGTAGTGAAATGAGAAGAGTTGCTCTGCATCTTTGTACCTGGAACGAATGAGTGCCTGAGAGTAAGCGATAACTAATTTATGTCGATGGAAATAGGGCTGTTAGAGAACACAGAATTAAAAGATAAATTGAATCCTTTAGCTCCAAAGATTTTTAAAAGCATGTGTCTTCTTTCAAACACCTCACAAAAGTAACAGGATGAAATTTCTGAATTACATACAACCCTTAATACCTTCCTTCCGATCTGAAAACGTTACCCAGGTCCCCGCAGCAACTGGACACAAGATCAACGTCTCTCACTACCTTGGCAAGGTCCAGGGCTTCTCGGAGATACTCTTTAGCTTTGCCCCAGTCTGCCGCAGATCTACAGGCATTGCCGTAATTCTGCAGGAAAAGAGCTCTTGTGTGAGGTTTCAAAGTGGCTTTGAAAACCATCAGTGGCTTGAAATAGGTGTCTATGGCCTGTTTTAGTTCACCGCGATCGAGCAAACAGATTGCAAGATGTATTTTAGCTAAAGATTCTCTATCAAAATCTCTCATAGATGTAGCAATGTTCCACGCCTTCCGATAAAACTCCTCGGCCTCGTTTAGTTCTCTAAGAAGGCGATGTATTGTTCCAAGATTGAGAACAGCTTCAAATAAGAATGGTGCTGTAATATGAAAAAACATGACATCAATTAAAAACAAAGAATGGCAGAAATAACCAGACAAATTATCACAAATCCTACAATTAATATCATCAATATTTCGAGTCATTTCTTTTATGAATACAATGACTGGAATATTGTTATCTTCTGTGGACTTTCACTCAACCGTGTTTAAAATTATCTACCTTCTCGACTCACTCAACCTGAACTGAGTTATGGCTCTGATTGAAAAGAAGAGTCATTGGGATACACTGAGTGGGAAACTTTGACCAGTGATCTACTTTTAGATCTTTTTTTTTTAAACTCCAACTGAATTCTGTGAAGCTTGTTCATCAAAGCTTCCTTGATAGCTAAAATGTGGAAAGCGTGACCTTTCAAGCTCAGCAATCACGAAAGTAAACTAGCGTGACGATCAAAACTACAGAGCGGAAGTGCAAAAAATTTTCGACGAGTCATCGTGCTTTCTACTGCTTCCAAAATAATGTTTCATTCCAGAAAAATGAGTCTAACTTACCTAAATCGCTCTCCTTCGCTTTTAGACGAACCAAGTTATCAGATGAGTACTCCTGAGCAGCGTCTTGATACAATTTCTTTGCTGTCTCAACAGCCACTCTCCAAGGACCTGTTGCGATTTGAACTTTAAATATTTCGTTCATTGCAGCAAATTTCTGTTGCTTGCTCATGGCTCTCTTTAGTATATATTCCCATAATATTAATGCTGTTGGCAGATCTCTACTCGTGAAATCCCGCGCCATTTCAAATAAACAAAGAAATGGCGTTTCTTCCGCTCTCACTTTCTCAAAGACATCTTCATCAGCTGACGGCAACTTTTGTCGTAAATTGTCGAGTCCAACTTTGACAAGATCTTGGTGTTCTGGCGCTAGGTATTCCATAACAGAGCCGATTGAGTTTTAACGGCGATCAAAGCCAAAAAGGCTGTAAAGATTCTTTCAGAACAGTCAGCGAAAACTATCAAGTTCGCCGCTCTGTTCAAGTGAAGGGAAACTCCCTGGGAATTGTGGGAGGAACAGTTTAAATGAGAGGAGTCTGGAAATAGCTAAATTTTAAACGTGGCTGATGCTAAAACCGTCAAAGGAACAAATCCACAGTATCTTCTCAAGAAGTAGTTCGCTTACGTGTTTATGACAATAAATACTGGAACGAGCAATATTTTGCACTTTCAGGTATTAAAGTCTTATTATCCCTAATATGACTAGATTTGACTGGGATATAATCAACCCTTTCGTATCCAAATTTGTTGCAGTTTGTTGCATTTATTTAAATATAGATGTATGTAAATTGAACAGAAGGGTGTATTTTTATGTATATGACAGTACCGTGATAATATATGGGAGCACTACAGTGTCGAAACTCTCCCTAAAATTAGATCAAACATGAGCTGATATGAGATCAGAAGTTGGTTGATCGAGTTGAGTGCTCGTGGAAACTAATATAAATTGATAATTAAGAGGCCTCAGCCTTGTGTTACTCGTGTTTAATTTAATCAATTCTTTATGACAAAACTACCTCAAAAATATAAAACGGAGGTGAAATAAAAGAAGTTAAAATTTCACTGTCAATTTTGCATTCCTTTATTTGGCTGGCCGGTCAATAAGTTGAAATAAGTATAAAAAGGGTTTTGTGTTTATTGTTTACCACATTCCTTGCTGTTCAATAATACAAAGAAAACTTGTTTGTTTCAAACAGCTTAGAGATAGACGAGTCAACCAAACTTTCATCTGGTGTATGTTACATTACATTTGTTGGTACCTTTTGCCAACTGTGCTTCGTTTTGCATTTCCTACTTAAACAAATGTAAATAGCAGCCTCCACAATTTTTGTGGCTTAAAAATGTTAACATACGAAATTCAATAACATAGTAGTTGATTTTAGTGGTATTACTTCAAACTTTGTTTAGATTTAGAGTCAGTATTAGACTGTGAGCAGAAAAACTTCAGTTGAAAAACAAACCAACAACCGGTTGGAGAGTCCACTGACATTGTATAATTTTAGAATTAACTGAATATTGTTGTTATTATCTGGTAGTATGTAAAATTTTGTTGCAAAATGAGAAAGCTGTAGCTGTGGTTTCTATCGCTCATAGCTGTTCCCAAAACTTTTGGTAACAAATCTTAGGCTCATTAACACACCCTGTGCTAAAAGTGAATAAAAAAAATTTGGAGGATGACGTATCCTGAATGACTATCGATGCTCATTTAAAGTTTGCACTATTTTGAAATATTAACTGAACAAAGCATTTGGCTCGTTGGAAAAGAGTCATTTGACAGCGGGAACACCGACAATGGAAAACGCAGCCCAATGTTGTGGACTTCGAGTGTCCTCTTTAGTTTGAACAGTTTTCATGGCCTTCTGTAACGATACCGCAGCATCACGGGAAGATTTGTATTCACGATAGAATGACGTCATCAATTCAGAAGCAGAATTGTCATCAATCTTCCATAGCGTGACAATCACGCAAGCTGCACCGGCTGCCAGAAACGCCCGTGACAAGCCTATCAGAAGGAAAGCAATTGTTAAGGTTGAACAAGATATTGTCCAACAGATTTAATGAAGGGCTACTTCAGACAATCGAGTCACTTGCTATCTGCATTATTCACATTCAAATTACTCTTCCTAGTAAATGAAGGTTCTCTTCGTGAACTTATGCGATTCACCGACGCACTGAATATTTTGGGTAGTAAGGATGTATAAATACACATATGGAACAATCCGTTGTCCGTTGTCCGTTGTCCGTTGTCCGTTGTTTGGAGTGAAAAGGGCGCGCCGCCTTAGCATTTTTTTTTTGTTTTCAGCAAACTAAAACGCTGGAAAGAATGGGGAGAATCCCAAAACTCATAACGAGTGAATTAACGACATAAATTAAAAGCTTTACACTTATCATTTCCATCAGCCCCTGCTTGCGTCCAGTCTCAGCTTAAACTTGTTCCCAACTCCTACCCGTCTAGACTCTTTGGGCCATCGAGACCTACCCTAAAAGTTGCGAAAATGACTTCCTATAGATATTCCTATCAGATGGATTTGTTTGTGTCTTCGAAATTTGGAAAGGCTAAGAACAAGATAGGAATATCGCAAATATAAACATAGGCGTAAAAAAATCTACAAAAAAGTCACCAACTCACCCAGTATTCCATCGCCTGTCACTTTACCCAGTCCGGTTTCACAACAGCTCAGCACAACAAGTTCAGCATTCAGTTCCAAGCCCCTCACTTCTTCAGCCGTGAGAATACCATTACATTCGAGCCCAGACTTTGCGAGAACAACAAGTCCTCTCATGCTAAAATCCCCATGAGAGTCTTCGTTGTCGATAATAGCGTGCGTTGCAAAATGTAGGATCTTGTATTTTGGCATGGCCTCCATCACTACCGCCTTTTTAGCCTGAGATCCTATAAGAATTTCAGACATTGGCGAGTTGATAGTCTCTGTAATCATGTGCACTTCACGCTCTGCAGAGGGGAGCTGTGGAAGTTCTTCGAAAGGCATGATGGGGTTTCCAAC